AAAAGCGCTATATAAATAAAGGTGACTTGACTTGACTGACTTGACATGAAGGCACCGGATGACCCACATACAGTAAACCTATACAGTATTAACTCAACGGTACTTTTATTGTAAGCAAATTATGAGAAAAAACTATTTGTATTGGGTTTAATATCCTCAAACGTTTGTCAGTGTAAAATTCCTATAGCATAACGAGTTGTTTGCTACGACGTTCGTCATGCTAATGCTGTTTTAAAGAAGAACTGTATATTGTAGGTAGGTCTAGCAGTAATATCTTTATCGCATCTTTCATCAGTTATGTGCAATAATATAACAAGATACTTATGTATTACGGTATATGAGTCAGATAAGATTGCTTCATTTGGTTGTTTGAAGATTACCGTTACCGTAAGTGAAAGCTACGTCCACTCATGACTAGCTACTAGCATGTGGAGAAATGAATAAAATAATTAATTTATGCTTTTCTAGCTAGTTTATTTCCGTCATAAAGTCATAGAAGCACTTGAATTAGCTTCTAGTGCGCATTATTGGTTTATTTATAGTTGACACAGTTCCCCATTTGTGGCACTTTTTGTTCAGGAATAAGGAATAAAATAACAGCTTTGCGAAATTTGAGCTAAAACATCTTCAACATTTAAATGAATCACCAAAAAACACAATTTGTAAATTCTCCAATGCAATTCTTAATACTTTTAACTTCAATTGTATTTTATAATGTCTGTCTCACATTTGAAGATGGCCTGAATATAACATTTTGAGAACAACACTGATGCTAACCATCTGCACACAACTAAAAATATTGTTTTGTAAACATCGTTCTTCATTGTGATCATGGTTTATGAGATGTACATGCATATGTAAAGCAGCTGTGTTCATGTCTGAGGCAAAAGTCCACCTGTGCTCATCTTTATAGCCAATAAATCCGAGATAAGCGTCCGTCTCAAAGGTTAAGCTTGAAGTCGGTTTCTCATATTAGCTCTTTCTCACAACTGCTTGATGGGAATTTTATTCAGCCGGAATTAAGGGATTCGTCTTCGATATTCTTTTATTGATCCATCACCTAACAAGAAAAATGGATTTGAAGCCTAAAGGATCTGCTGCTGTTTTTGTTCTCCTGGTTCTTTTCACACTCAGCAAGTTCAACGAAGCACAAAGTAAGTGCTGAAAGTTTGAGAATGAAAAATCTTACGTAATCAGGTTTTCCTTTGTAGGCTGAAAGAGTTCCGAACATGTCATTTGACAGCTGACAAGTTAGTTATGTTTGTTATGATTGTATAGACTTAAACAAAAAACAGATGTCAAGACACTTTTGGAAATGTTATTCTTGAAAGTATTAAAATTTCAAGTTGTGAGAGTTTGCTAGCGTTGTAGTTATGGTTAACTGTACATCAAGGCAATTGTTTCAAGGTTAATTCAGGAAATGTATTGATTTTATTATAATATTATAAGTGAGTGATCAATGTTTAGGTTTAATCACCTTTTTTACAACCACAATTTTTACAGTATAGATTTTAGAGTAAGATGTGCATATGTTTTACCATAGATATGGTCTTATTATTTCAAACAGTATTTCAACTTTACACAAAAATATTATTTTACATGAATTAGAAGTACATTACACACTTCAGAAATTTCTGCGTAATCGTATTTGTATAAAAAAGTTTTTCCAACCAGTTTAAGATGACTTTGAAATGCTTGAATTATAGGCTTGTTTGAAGAAATCCTACCAAGTGAATTTGCTTGGTTTCTTTAGAAGTTTTTTCTCAGTCATCATGAATTTTTTTTTTTTTTTTGCTTTGTATTTTCTAACATTCACGTTTTTTCAGTGTCAACCAGGACCATTCATTAAAATGTAATTCATTTTTTTCTGAATGACACAGACCTTTGTTCGGTGCCAGATAATTTGCTGGTAATTCTTATTCCGGAAAACAACGCTATTGGAGTCGTAGTTACAACACTCAGTGCTGAGGATGGGGTGATGGCCAGTATCACAAGTCAAAATCCAGAGGGTTTCTTCAGCATCAGTGGATATGATCTCATTGCTGAAACTGTGCTGGACTATGAGGTTAATGTTGTATATCTTATAAAGTGTCTGGTGTTCAGCCAATACACTTTAAATTGATAATTTCAACGCCTGTTTCCTGGGATAAAGTACAAAATACATTTACTATTTTAATATGTCAAATCCATTTTACAACTTACATATGTTTCAATTAAATTAAGTGCTTCATTTTTGTAAAGAGATGTCTCTTCACTCAGCATTAGTCTTGATCTGAACTGGTTTTGGTTGTTTTCTCAATTACCACTTCAATTTAAGTTTAAACTTAAACTTATTTACCAATCCGGTATCTGGGTTTTAGGATTTCAGTTTAACATGATGTAGTTTTATTGTCACAGCATTGTAAAAACTATGATTTAAACAGCACAGCATCAGTTATTATAAGGATGAAATTCTTGAAATCTTGATATTAAAAAGCAAATAAAAATGGACTTTTAAATGCGTATATATATGTATATATACACAGTGGGGCAAATAAGTATTTGATACACTGCTGATTTTTCAAGTTTTCCCACTTACAAAGAATGGAGAGATCTGTAATTTTCTATTTTTCTATTGTATCAAATACTTATTTCATGCAATAAAATGGAAATTAATTATTAAAAAATCATACAATGTTATTTTCTGGATTTTTTTTTTGATTCTGTCTCTCACAGTTGAGGTGTACCTACGATGAAAATTACAGATCTCTCCATTCTTTGTAAGTGGGAAAACTTGAAAAATCGGCAGTGTATCAAATACTTATTTGCCCCACTGTATATATATATATATATATATACACACACATGTGTGTATATATATATTTGTTTAATACTTTTAAGTATGATTTCATAGTTTTGAATTGGTTCAAATTACTTAATACTTTTTTAGCGTACTTATTTCTCAGTACTTTTACACCCTTACCGGTGCCCTTAGCTAGTTAAAAAACTGTAAATGTGTAGTTTTAAATGAGAACTACATGAAGTAAATGAGAGCATTTTAATATTTCAAAGCAGCCATTTAATTCAGATCCATTTCAAATGCATTCTGTACAAATTAACAGACCTTTTATGTTTTGTTATTTTCTTAGACATTTAAACCGAGCAAACCTCATGAGGTGCATATTGAGTGTACAAAAGCTGGCTTTCTCTCTGTAAGTAAACTATTCAAGTGGTGTTTTAATTAAGTGAACCTAAAAAAAAAATTCTTGCATTGTGATTTATTCAACCTCAATTCTTACTTTTTTTTTTGTTTTAAATGTTTGTTTTCATGTTGGTTATTGAGGTCCTGCATGTCATATTTGTATTTTTAGACCACGCTGAATCTGAAAATAGCCGTTGAGGATATAAATGATAATCCACCAGTGTTTGAACACAGTCAATACACACTAAATGTTGATGAGGTACTTTTTTCTTAAACTTTAAATGTTGCATTTAATTCTGTTCATTTATCAATTTTATCATGGCCAATTTTTTTAAGATCTGAAAACTTTTACTGATTTTTGTAGTTGTCAAAAGTGGATACCAGTGTTGGCCTGATCACAGCAACTGATCCTGATAAAAATGATAGACTTTACTACCAACTGGATTCTCCTGAGGTACAGCTGTGTCCCCAATACACCTTCTGAGACGACAAAAATGGCAAAGAATGTGCATATAGAGTTTACATTGTATTTCATGGTAAACACAAGTGTCCTCTTGGGAATTATGTTCTGAAGGATCTTCTTCTTGGAATTCTAAAAGAGAATTCCCCTTGAATGTTGGTTCCAAATTATTATAGGAATTCCAGATGGAATCCCATTCACATTGTTGGCCTTTGTTCTCTCTCAGGGAGAATTTGCCCTGGAGGCCAATTTCAATCCCAACATTCTGGTGAAAAAGCATCTGGATTATGACAAAGTTAAAGAAGTCACAATGATTCTATATGTGCAGGTAAGTTTATCTGACCCAGGTTTAATCTTCAAAGATGCTTCTTTTTGTACAAACAACTTCCATTTGATGACTTTTCAGGACACACCGATTGAATCTACAGCTGAAGTCTCCCACACTGCCTCAACCACCATTGTAGTCAATATCATAGACATTGACAATCGTCCACCATGGTTCCAGCCCTGTACAGAAACTGAGATTGACACAAGCACAATCTGCTTGATGTCTGGTTATAACGGGAATGTCAACTTAAACGAACAAGCTGTGAGTTTTCTATCCAAATCGCTTGTAGACAGAGGTCTGATGTTGAGTTAAACCATATAGATATGATTATTTCAAAGTGCCCCAACAAACACCAACACACATTATAAAGTTGGCTAATGGATGTAGAAATATCAGGAAACATCTCATTGGATCAGTTTGTTGGGGCAGTGTGAGTTAGCAGAAGGTGGTGGATAGATTTTGAGATTAGCGGGTCAAATGAGAATATGAATGTTGATGTACACCACAGCCAGGTCCTTTGTCCTTGGAGCCAGGTCCACTCTTGGCCATTGATGGTGACAAAGGCAGGAATGATCCTATTGTTTATATATTTCTTGCAGGTGAGATATTTAATTCTCTATTTTATTTTCCTTATGCGTTGAAATAAAGAACTTCAGGACGAGTCGACAGGTTTTAATTAGTACGTTTTACATGTTCAGAAAGTGATGGAGGTATATTTGAAATCAACCCTGACACCGGGAGCATCACAATGCAGGAACCAGTAAAAGAGGCAGGAACAATTGTTCTTCCAGTCATGGTGAGAGAAAAAAAAGTGATTTTTAAAAAAAACAAAACCATTCTGTTTTGAATGTTACATGCAAACAAAAGCTGCAATTTGGAGCCACTGTACATATTATGTATGCTCTTAAAAATGAGGGTTTTTAGCATTGATGGTTCCTTGAAGAACCTTTAACATCCATGGAATCTTTCCATTCCATTAGTGATTCTTTGGATTATTAAAATGTTCTTCACTCTAAGAAAAAATGGTTCTTTTAGGAACTGTTCACTGAGAGGTTCTTCGGGGAACCAAAAATGGTTCTTCTATGGAATCGCTGCAAAACCCACTTATAATAATGGAACCAAAATTTGAAAACCCCAACCAAATTTCCCCTCTGTCTCCTTAGGCATATCAGAAAGAGAACGCTGATCAGTTTGCCATCACTACAGTCACCCTGCAGGTGGTGGAATCCACCAATTTCCCTCCGACCTTTGTGAAGTCCAGTTATGAAGGCTTTATCTCAGAGGATGCGGGTGTGGACAGCCTGGTGCTGGAGAGCAAAACATCCAACAGACCCCTCAGAGTACAGGCAACAGATGAAGACTTTCCTAGTGTAAGAACTCAGAGACAAACAGCATTTTAGTCTCTGCATGTGTTCAATTCAAGATGCAGAATTAATTTGTAAAGTACATACAAAACACATAGAGCAGGATAGTGAAAATGAGTGTAAATCAATCAGAAAGAGTTTTTACATAAACATTTGCATTGGTTTTATGGACCTCAAGTCATTCTTGCATACATTTTTGCACTGAATTGATTTGTTTTGTAAAACCATTCTTATAGAAATCATCACGTTTAATTCAATGCACATTAATTTTTATGTAAATTCATGGATGGAATATTTTGAATTGAATTGTTTGTCACATTTGACATAATTTCTAAAAACATTCTCGCGTAAAAACTGTTGCCTTACAATCAATGTTCAAAAACATTCTTTCATAAATCATCACATTCTATTCAATATTCATAAAAACATTCTTAAGTAAATTCTTGGATTGAATTAAATAGTCTGTAAAACAATTTTTACATAAACTGTTGCATTGAATTGAATTGTTTGTGAAACTCTCACATTTCATTGAATCATTCCTTTAAAAAATCTTGGGTAAATTTGTTGCACTGAATTAAATGTTCATAAAACCATTTTTACATATATATATACTGTATGTATATATATATATATATATATATATATATATATATATATATATATATATATATATTTTTTTTTTTACTGTGAATTTAATTGTTTGTTAAAAATTAAGCATTTAATTGAATCGTCTTAAAAACTATTCTGAGTAACCGTTGCAATAAATTCAATGTTCGTAAAGCCATTCTTATATAAATTGTCACATTCAATTCAATATTCATAAAAATATACAGTAAAATGTTGCATTAGTTTTACCAACTTGTAATTCATTCTTACTTAAATCACATTGAATTTAATAATTTGGGATAAATTAAATTCAATGTTTGTAAAACAATTTTTAATAAATCGTCACATTCCATATTTGCAAAATGAATAGTTTATAAAATCATTTTTATGTAAACACACATTGTAAAACCACTGTTGCATTCAATTCATTGTTAGACCTTACATAAAAATGTTTTTAATGATTTACACAAATGTTTGCTGAATGATGCCTATTATTGTAATATTTCTGGTGTTAAGTGCTGGATTTCTTTCTTTGTAGGGCATTAATCCTAACCTCAGATTTGAGATTGTTGATGGCTCTGACTTCTCAATCACTCAAGAGGGTTTCATACTCATGGCGAAGGAAGTTTCCCCAGGCTCTGTAAATTTAGAAGTAAGGACTTAATATTTCATACAACATTTCATGCACTTTAGACATTAGACTCTAATTGTTAGTGTGTGATTTGAAACATTTACGATCATATTATCCATCGTGACTCAGATGAGGGTGGTTGACACAACCAATGAAGAATCAAGCACCGCTTCTCTTACGGTTGAGGTCACTCCAGGTAAGACCAGACCAATACTGCACGCTCTTAAGACACCACCTTAATATGACATGATACAATCCAATAAGGAATAATCAGAAGAGTGGGCTAATCAGGGTACTTTCTGGACATCATAGCTTTTAACGAACAGTTTGAGCTTTTGGTGATCTTCACATCAATCCTTTTTCATTTCAAGCCACTAAAGGGAAACTTGCATAAATAGTACAATATGATTAGCCCATAAACTGAATTTCAAATGATTCACTTGAATCAGTCAACAACAAAGACTGGTGACACCATTTTTCTTCAGGGGTTCCCACTACCACTCCTGGCACAACTATCATGACTTCATCCATTATAACAACAGAGAGCACTGCTAACACAAAGCTAACAGAAATCACCACCGCCACCTCGCACCCAGGTATCACCACAACTACGCGCCCCAGCACAGGTACACTTACGCTAAGCTAACTAGCATGCTAAATCTTCTGGTGGGCTGTGTCGTATGCCATTTTTGAAATGACATACCATCATAGCACACTATAAAAATATTCATGAATCTAGCACTGCAGTGTCAATCACATGGAATTTGCTCAAGTTTGCATTTATGCTACTGACACTTTTAAATACTGGCTATAGAGGGCTGCAGTGATGACGTTAGCATCACTCTAGTTCACTCTGGATTTTTCCATTAGCATTTGGAATATTGCAAGAAATAAGATCCGTGACCAACAAAGGTTTTGGATTCTTACATGTTTTGTTCACACAAATGAGCACAAGTTTGAAGCTTAAACACAATCGCCAGAAGCTAATGTAGCTAATGTAACTTCAACGTCACTGCTATTAAGCTTCTGACAACTTTAAATCTTTATTTAAAAGTAATTTTCCCTGAAAGTTATACCTCTGCAAATGACTTTTTCAAGCCAAGTTTCAAGCTATTTAAAAATCACATTAGTAGTATTACTAAAGTACTTTATGTTGTAGAATGAAACGTGAAAATATCTTGAGCTTTTGTTAACCACAGACCTTATTTCACCCAAAATCCTTTCGAAAAACCCATTGACTTTGGGACGATGGAACCAGAAGTGCTAAAATGCTAACTTGTTTCTGGGTTTTGGCCTACAAAAATAGTAAATGCATCATCCCTGCAGCACTCTATATGTGACCCTGGAGCACAAAACCAGCCTTAAGTCGCTGGGGTATATTTGTAGCAATAGCCAAAAATATATTGTATGGGTCAAAATTATTGATTTTTCTTTTATGCCAAAAATCATTAGGATATTAAATAAATATCATGTTCCATGAAGATATTTTGTAAATTTCCTACTGTAAATATATATATAAAAAAAATAATTGACCCTTATGACTGGTTTTGTGGTCCAGAGTCACATATGGGTGTGCACTAATATTTGTGAAAACACAAAATTCAAAAGCATGTTATTCAAAATGAATGCAGTTGTGAAATTCCAGTAAATTCCAGCCATTTGTGTGTATCATTCTAGTAAACTCACTGAAAGTTTACTTTAAGTATCCCAAAAACATGTTTTTCTTTCCTCTTGTGTGCTCCAGGGGGACAGCAGGTGAAAACGGGTGAGTTCAGTTCGGGCGATATGGCAGCTGTAGGGGCCTCTTTGGCTGTGGTTGTCGTTCTCTGCTTAGTTTGCATTGGACTGATGGTGCACCGCATCAAGGGCCATAACGCAGACTGGAAAAAGCTTTCTGAGGCTAGCGTCTTCCAGAGCGCAGTGAGTTTGCATGCAGAAAACTGTTCTCTTTGAGCATCAAACGAATAAATCCTACACTCTAAAAAATGCTGGGTTAAATACAACCCAGTGCTGGGTAAAATAGGGACAAACCCAGCAATTGGGTTGTTTTGATCCAGCGGTTGGGTAAAATGTATAACCCAACCTTCTGGGTAGTAACCCAACCGCTGGGTCAAAACAACCCAATTGCTGGGTTTGTCCCTATTTTACCCAGCACTGGGTTGTATTTAACCCAGCATTTTTTAGAGTGTAAGAATGTTCTAGTTAGGTTGAAAATTATTTTACGACTAGTAAATTTGTCATACTGATTTGAAACATTCGTAAAAACCCTTTTCATATAAATAGTTACGTTGAATTGTTGGTTAAACCGTTGTTTTATTTAACTGCCATATTGAATTTAATAGTTCATTAAAGCATTTTTAACATACTTTGTCAGAATAGTAACATATTGAACTGAAACCCATAAAACCCTGCTTACATGAATTCATGAGTTGATAAAAGCATTCTGATGTAAATTGTCACACTGAAACGCACAAAACTTCATAAAACATTTATTACATAAATTTCCAATTTAATTCAATGTTCATAAAAATATTCTTGTGTAAAATTTCGGATTGAACGTTCATAAAAATTGTCAAATTTCTAAATCTATTCTTACATTGAATTTACCAATCGAATAATTAATAAAAGCATTCAACGTAAATTGCCACACTGAATCATTCAGTTGTAAAACCATTTTAAGATAAATTGTCACATTCAAATTGTAGTATAACAAATCACATTCATTGTTCATAAAACTATTCTTAAGGTTTTTTCTGAATCAAATAGTTCATAATTTAAATCACTTGTAAAACCAACAAATCGTCACATTCCAATGTTCGTAAAATTGCTTTTACATAAATTTTTAGATGGAATTAAATAGTTTGTAAAAGTATTCTCATATTAATTGTCACATTCCAATGTTTATAAAGGCATTCTTGCATTCACTTTTGGATTGAACTGATAAGTTCATAGAAGATTTTTTTCACACTGAATTAAATTGTTTGTAAAACTATATAACTATTTATGTATACTATAAAATTTTTGGATCGAATTGAATAGTTCATAAAGGAATTCTCAGGTTAATTCATATTGAATCAAATTTTTGTCACATTCCAATGTTTATCAAACCATTCTTACATACATTTTTGGGTTGGATTGAATATTTTTTATACGTTCGCACCATAGTTTTTGACATTGAATTAAATCGTTCATAAAACTATATGTTCATACTGAATCAAATTCTCACATAATTGGTCACATTCAATGTTTATTAAACCATTCCTGTGTAAAATTTCAGATTTAGCCGAACAATCTGTAAATAATATACATAAATTGTCACCTTCAATGTTTAAAAATTATTTTTTGTTAATTTTCTTATTGAATCGAATGGTTCATAAAACCATTCTATGAAATTTGCTGCATTGAATCAACCCAAATTGTCACGTTCACCACTCTTGCATGAATTTTTGGACTGAAATGCATAATCCGTAAAAGCATTCTCACATAAATGAATTGAATCAGATTCTTGCATAATTTGTCAGTGTTCATAAAACTGTTATTACATTACTTGAAAACTGGTGAATTATTCCCTTAATGTTAATACTCCATATATCTAGATCATATTTGAGAGTACTTTTTTCTTTTTTAATTTATGACATTGAATTAAATTGTTCAAAAAACTAAGAATGTAGATTAATACTGAATCAAATTCTCAGGTAATTGGACATTCAATGTTCATAAAACCATTACTTCAGGTGAACTAGAATATTTCTGAGAGCATTTCTTTCTTTCTACAGCTCGGTGGAGGCTCAGGTGGTCCTAAAGAGGGTGTGCAGTACAGCAATGAGGGCTTCCAGCACGATGATGATTCTGGGAGTGTGAATAGTAAGATAGCTGCAGACCTGGAGAACAAACTGGAGTCCGGACTAAAGCCGCAGCAGAGACGCGGGTCAGCGCAGAAGACGACGACACCCAGCAGCCCTCCACCCGACTCCAGCAGCCTGGCAGAGAACATCGACAGTGAGAAGGAAGTCAAACCAATCCTGACCAAAGAGCGGCGCAATGAGGAGGGATACAAATCGGTTTGGTTTAAGCAAGATATCGACCCCAACACCAAAGAGGAAGTGGTCATCATTCCCAACACCGGTGAAGCGGATGGAGACCGTGAGGAAGATGATGACAGCGAGGGTGAAAACAGCCCTGACGTGGATTCTGATGATGAGGAAGGAGTGTCGTCAGATTTGTAGACCGTTTCTCCAGTGCAACAACTGCAAAACACAAGGACTTGAGTTGAGCTCAAATGTTAGACACTTTAGTACAGTCGAAACGTTAAAAGATTAATTATAAGTTAGTTGACTTATGTTCTAAAGTTTTTACAAATGTTTTCCTTTGTCATATTCCGGCTGGGTATCGTTTAAAAATTGTCGATACCGATACCGATGACTTTGATATCGGTTCCTAAATGATACTTTTTTCGATACCAGTTGTATGAAATCAATTTTAACGAGATTACATTATTATATGGTTTTATTTTTCAGCTTGTTGACGTTTATACAGACTCAAAGACTCATCTCCCGAGCCACTGGACAAAGGAACTAAATATGACCAACATAATAAATCAGTGCAAATAGTTTTCAGTTTACACTTCTGATAGGCTGTTACCGAATGACAAGACGTTTTTGATACTCGATGCTATCGAGGCAATTCGGTCGGTGCCTAAAAAGTAGTCTCGCGTAGCCAGACCTTCAGACTGACAGCTGAAGGTCTAGAATCTATGGCAGCTTTCATTGGCCAAGGCCCGCCCATGTGGCCGTTTGACCATGTCAAACAACCAATCACAGTTTGTTTCATTTCAGTGTCATTCTTCGGGGTCAACAGACTGGTGTGTAAAACTCTCGGACGTATTTTAAAGATTCTATGCCGTGAACTTGAAATATTTCACATACTTTTGAGAATCCAGCGTTTAGTTGATCCTGATAAGCGCTCATCGTCACAGTTGTAAACACGACGGCTTTCTTCTTTCGTCAGGGGGTTTGGCGTTACGACATCTTTGTTTCCAGGCGGAACGTTAAAGAACGCGACACACATGTCTCCCGGAAATCCTGTATAATTCAACCAATCCAATGAGGACTTCGAAACTCCTGAAGTGTTTCCACTTTTGTGTGCCGTATGCATCAGACCTTCAGTCAACGGTCCGTGGGCATGACGTCTGAGGCTGAGACTACCTAAAAAGTATCAAACTCGATACCCAGCCCTATTCCTTACTGTTCTGTAAACAAAATGAATATAATTTTCACTTTCTAGCATGAAAAGTCAACCTGAAATCAAAATTGACCCTGTTTGCTTTCTAAATATATTTTCTTGTTTTTATTGTGAATGATTCATCAGTGCACAATATTTTGAAGGAAAAAAAGGTAAATCTAAAATGTTTCAATATTGCTCAGAAATACATCAGATTATGGAAGATAAATAGGTTGAGAACTGCATTTCATGTTGACTAAGTGCTGTGTACAAAAACTTATTAATAGTAAATTCTAATATTTTTGTATACAATCTATTATTTGTAGAAAGCAGTTTACTGGAAACATGGAAATAAACAATAATT